GGCTGTTTGGTTTTCTCAAAGATTCATGGTATAGCAGTTGTTAATCACAAGTAAATAAACTTCTGTGGTCATCCGTATTTCATTTCTATATAACTATTTTATATCATTATATGATATGGCTTGCCTTAAACACTGTGATTAAAATTCAGTGTTAGATTCCTTAGAATATTATTTTACAGTTTTAAACACTGTATATTAAACTTCTGCATTTACTTAAAAAACAATATTATTCAAAGTTCTGAATAATTCAGCAGTCATTAAATGAGCCTTTTAAATAATTTTTGTGGAACTGAAAATTAACCCTGACCATTTGTTATTTAGAAAGAAAAATATTTTAAGTTCTAAATAATTAAGTGGTTTTGAAGTATGTATAAATAGGTAAGCTCATTTATGAAAGTTGCATTTTATAATCGAGTGCTATCAACTAAACAGCTTATCTCCAAATTCTGCAACAAACCTATTTCATGTTAAATGACATTTTTATTTCAAATTACCAATATTTTTCAAAATAATTCAGAATTTCTATTATACATAACACTATAATAACATATCCTGCTTGGTATATCAGATTTGATGTTTCCACAGTGGTAAAGTTTGGATTGTGGTCTTTTGAGTTGTTACATGCCATTAATGATGTGATTAACCCATCACCACCATCTTATTGGTAGTAGTAAATTAGGTATATTATTTCAAGGAATGTGGCCACTTTCCATCATCCTTCCTGTGACACCTACAGGACTGTACATTGTCATAACCTAGAAGACCACAATCCAAGATGTCTGATCAATAATTGTATTTGCACTTCTATGAAGATGTAATGGAATTTGTGCAATGAAAAAGTTAAATCCTGCCCCCAGACAAAATAAACACGATGTACCACACTCTATGACAAAGAGTGTGGTAAAATTCAGTGTTTGCTTCAACTATGAGTGAAGCTTTTAAAGGGAACATAACATCTAAAATAGCTTATAAAATTTTTATATAACTTGAAGGCCTTAATGATGACTTTTGAAATTTAAATTAAAGTGTACATGTTAGTGCATTTTAATATTGATTACAGTATAATCAATTAACGTAACTCATGCAAACGAAAGTGATTCCAGTTAGTTCTGAGTCATGCAATACATGAATCCCTTTATACCAGTCAACCTCATATGAGCAACTGCCATGCATACCACATCATCTTATCAAGAGCTGCTGCCACAAGCAAACATTTCTGTTAATCTAAAGTACACAAAACACATTCAGCAATTCAAATATAAAAAATACAAACATTCATTCACAAGAAAATCTTTAGAAAATTAAATGTTTTGTGAAACTACACAGTGATAATTTGTGGAGTTGAACATGATGCTGCCATCCTTAAAGTTAAACATAAGAAGGATGGGCATGTGTTTCAAAACCACAAGTACTGTAAAACATAAATAAACACACTAAAAATATAAACATATAACCAAATTTTTCTAATAGCTCTTTCCATTGCAGTTACAAAGGTCAGTAGAAGAAAATAAATATGGATGTTTCACCAAAATATATCACACAATCAAGTCAGTGACAAAGTTGTAGGCATAATATATTAGAGATTTTATATATTATGTTTAATGACGTCTAGAAACTTTCAAGAACAAGTAGAATTTTGAAACACAAGCCTTCCTTTCTTAACTTAGCGGTGCATAAACCTAGTGTTTCTATTATATCTTGTTCGTATATTTTATAACAAAACAATGTCTAATATTCATTTACTTCAGGTAGCTATCTGTCATATCTTCAAATTCATAATTGCTGAAATATTATTCAAATCAGAAACAAAGGAAAAGTTATTATCGAACCACATTATATTAACGAGCAAGTTGAAACATTACACCAACATATTAGATGGGAATTAAGGAAGATCACCTACACTAGCTATTTTACTTATGATTCTAATTAATAACTTTGAATCCTTCTGCCGCTACAGAAGTGTTATGTTTCCTTCCAAATAAGTAAAGCCCTACCTGTTGCAAAGTTTAGTGATACATAGTTCTGAGAATAACAAATATAAAACTTTAAGTTAATTGTTGAATGATACTGTCTCATTGCACAGACCCTGTTGATTTTACCAAAATGTAAACCAACAAATTATACTAAACAGCATTAAATGTTATGCGCAGTGGAAGCCCATTACAATGATATTTATGGTGGATGTGAACAATACGTCTGGTATAGGCCTTTCATATTATAACAGAACACGTTAATCTAAAGACTGCTCAAACACACTTATCTGTGGCACCATTTTGGAAAACTTTACCTGTTCAGGCAAGGGATCCACTCCAAATTTCTTGTCAAGTGTCCACATAATTTCAGGGCATGTTAAATTTGTGACACAAATAGTAAGAGTTTTATGAATGAGGGTACAGAATGAATGCAACTTTTTCTGTACTTCAAATATATATTCTGCTCTTATTACATTTTAGGATTGAAATGCTCATAAATATTCAGAATATCACCTTCAATCAACCACATCCTTAAAACTAACATACAATAACAAACCTCTGCAAAGTGACCACTTTAATTAAAAATTGGTGGTGAAGGTAAAAGGTTTTAAAAATGTTGAAGACAAACAATTGTATGGATCTAAATGAAGCTTATATAAATTGTGCAGCCAAAAATGTGTCCATTTTCATTGTTAAAAATACATATTTTATTTATCATTCAATCACATTCTTTTATCAGAATTAATGTTGAATATGACCCTGTTTTCTTCAATTACAGCTCAAATGCATCCTTTCCAATAATCAATAAAGGATCAGATGTTACTCTATGATACAAGTGATCACATTTAAACAATTAGTATACAAAAGCAGAAAGAACTGTTCCAGCACCTGTGGTTTCTGCAACAAAGAAATGAAAATGTGTGACCTCTCCAAGCACAATATAACATCTGGTGTTATATTCAACAACCATTCTGACAAAAAAAATATAATCAAATGATAAACAAAATAAGTATTCTAACAGTGAAACTCAAAAATATCATTCTGTATAATAAATTAACTTAACTGAATAAATGTTTTTGTGTGCACATTTATGATATTCTGCACAACTTATTCTACTATCATGCAAATCCACTGAGCTGTTCATTTTTTCCACTTTTCAAAAAAGCATCATTTTTGGTGCCATCTGGCATTTCATAATTGTCCACAACAGAGACAGGTAAATTATGCACAAAAGGAATATAGAAAATTATTTCTTACAATTATGAGGCCACATCCATCTTTATTTTTATAATGTTGCTATTATTTTTAACTTAACTAATACTTGTAATTGCATTTTATAAAAAGCCTGTATCTGTATTGGAGATGAGAATAATAAAATAGTGAAACTCATCATTGTTAAATGCGAGCTGTTTCTTCATCAGCACTGAATTTTAAAGTTTTTGTCACACCGTAACACCATGATAAGAGCCCTGGCTACAATGACATCATATGCAGCAATTTATATAGTATAAACTAACCTGAAATTTAAAGTTATCAAGGCAGTGAATATGTTGACTGTGCTCTTCTGCATTGTGATATGAAGTATAAACTAACCTGAAATTTAAAGTTCTCAAGGCAGTGAATATGTTGACTGTGGTCTTCTGCATTGTGATATGTTATGGTCTTATAGGTAGTCACCAACATTTTGGAGAAGCATATTGCCTCCTCAGAGGTCTATACCCTCAAGATGGTGGTAATATGTTTCTCCAAAACTTCGGTAACCACCTATAAGACAACACCGACACAATCCATAAGACTAAAATTAGTGAAGACACTGAGTACAAAATTTCCCAACTACCTCAGTTTTACTCTGAATATAACTCTCCAAGGACATACAGAATGCATCATACTATATATAGTTGATAGTGCACCGGGCCTAAATATAAAAGACTTCATTAAATTTGTTTTCATATTTACACCACTGCAGTTACTCAATTGCTGATTGTATCACTTCTTATTATTATTGTAGTAATACTTCATTTTATAAAATATTTGAAATCTGAACAGAAATATATGACTTTTTTTAGTTTGGGTTACTTATTTGGAACTTCTATTTAGTGCAGCCAAATTCACAGTGTTAAACACAATAGATTCCACCACTGGGCCTATGCCTACGTTCATTATGCAGTGCATGTTGTCATAACCTGTTGTCTTTCCATCTTATCTTCCTATCTCAATGTAAGTTTTTAAGCACATACTTTTCCAAGAGTTGTCCAAAGTTAAATTCTTTTATGTACCTCATACTTTCTCCATGTTCAGACCATCATAATATATACATTCTTATATGTCAACTGTCATATTTTATTGCATCCCTGAGCACAGAACTTAAAATTCTAATTCCCACAACCAATAAATTCAAAGTTGTAAAGAAAATCTCAAAGAGTGTGCCATCAGTTAACTCATTACAAAGCAAAGAATTAAGTTGAATAATCTAAGTTACATTAATCAGAAAAAAATTACAAATTTATTAAAAATGCTATTAAAACAAAATTTTTCATTAAATTACACAGTTCCTTCAGCCAATATTATATTTCAGTACACAGATAGAAAAATACAAGAATAACATAATAATGTAAAGAAATTAAATTGAATGAGCAACTCTAAAACCCAAAAATAAAAGCCTATATGATATTGTTCTGCTCGTCTGCATTGAGGATGATCTGACATATTTAACAATAATTATGAATGCAAAGAATATCATAGAAAACTCCCTGTAATTGGCCTGGAGGCTGGAAACTAGTTCTGTAGTTCATGTAAGTGCATTCTTCATAAATAACATTAAATTCACTCTTAACATTGCACCTTCTCTTGTTCAGAACATGTTAAAAACAACAGGGACTGTAACTCAAGCACATATGGACTCTGTCTGGTCAACAGGATCAACAATTATAACACATTTTTATCTGTTAATATCATCACAATTAAATTAACTAAATAAACTTGAATAGAGGAAAGGGAAAGAACAGGAAAGATCTTGTACTGTACCACTTCATATGTATGTTTTATTTTATTAAATAAAAATGTAAGAGCAGTAAGAAATGAATCACAGGCAACATCAATGTAGCTGTCACTGAAAGCGATAGAAAGTAATGTATTATTTGTGCATTATGTTACACCCAGAAGACCAAAATTACAGTATTTAATTTAATTTAATTTAGTAATGAAAATCACACCTGTGATTGGCTTCCTACACATGTACTTTTATTTCCTCATGTTTACAATATAAATTACTACAATCTGACTTTCTTAAATATGTTCAAAATAGCAGAACTTCACAGTAATGGAAGTTTCAGAATGTGGATTTTTTTTTACTATTTTCTTCCATACATAAAACAAGTAACTACATTTCCCCTGCTTTTTCTCTTTATTTTTGCTTTAAATTTGATGTATGAGTAGAGTATACTTGATACTCATAAAAAAGCAATACGTTTGTCTATACACATACTAAACCTTGGATAATTACTGACTGAAAGGTGTAGTTATCCTGATACTCAGCCGTCTCAATCTAATTATGACACGGAAACTACGAAAACTTGAATCCGCAAGACTTAAGGTTTAGATGAAAGGTGTTAAAATGTGAAATATGTGAGATGTTACACGACATGTAAGGTAAAGAAAGCTGCACAGGCATGTAATAATCATTCATTAACTATAAACAATTTGAAAAACAAGTATTCTTTTCTTTAATCATTTAAAAGTTGTAAACAAAGTACAGGTTTTTTTATGTCATAAGATAAAATGAAGCCAACATTCTTATAAATCAAAAATCTTTATAATAATATTATGCTTCCATTCTTTTCCTTTAGCAGATGGGATTATCACAAGTGCCTTATAATTAATGATAACAATAAATTAAAATCTAACAGGTAGAACTGTTTACTTGTGGCAATCACACCATCTAACTTACTTATCCCTGTAGTGATAGAGCCATCTTATGACCCCTTCAACTTTGTAAGTCCCAATTGCACTGTGCACTTAAAAAACAGCACAATCTAACATTTCTTTATAATACAGTAATTAGTAAAAGGTAGAGGCAGGAAGTTTCAGCATGTATTTCTGACTTGATACAAATTGCAATTAATATTTCACACAATTCTTAATGATTCCCTGCCACAGAGAATTATGTAAGTTATAAACAAGATGTCAATACTTCCAGTTTCTTAAGATATTAATAAAAATGTTAAAAATATCAAAGTATGATTTGAAAGTTGTTAACAATCAATTAAATTGCTGCAAGAAAGTCTGGTATTAAAACTATAAATTTCATAACGTTTTCAAAATCAGATAATTTAATTCCTAAAAGACGGCTTCACCAGATCTAAAAGAAAAACAGGAATATTTCCACTGAGATTATGTCACGATTCAAACTGATAAACAGGAAATAAGTAAATTACATTACATTGTATGATATCAAGAAAGTACTGTCTGTCAAACTCTCTGAAATACAGTTTTTATAAAACCTAGTAATTATAAAACTGTGTAGCATATCCCACATTTTCATGTCATTTGTTAAGAACATTATATGTGCATATTAAATTATCATACATAAGACAAATATATTCAGATAACAATAAATACGAAAAAGAAAAATTCAAATGTTAAGATAGTAGAACGCACATTTAATTTGCATTCAGGTTATAAGTACATTTGACTCAATCAAACAATATGGCAACAACTAGTTTTTCAGTAAAGATCACCTAGGATTATTCAATCCAAAAAACATGTACAATTTCTTCAGAGATTCAGGTTAGTCGAAAGCAAACTAACAGTTAAAAAACAGCTCAGCACAAATTATTTTAAGAACAGCTGTCTTACTAAGAAAATTATATAGCACAGTACATACTAAATGACAGTGCTCATTGCACGATATCTCATATTATTTCAAATGTATTGTACTACGGACTGAATAACTGGACTGAGAAACAGATCATGCACTGCTTTAAATATCTCATTAATCTGTACATCTGTTGAATATCCTGTGTAAGCTTCATGCGTACTCCTACTCATTTACTTACAGTATATCTTGCTTATTTTCATCATGGAATTCCTATATAGAACTTTCCATAAGAAAATGTTTGACATATAAAATTTCTTAAGGAGGTGAATGAATATCAGCTTCTCAAGGACTTTGCTCCATGGAGTTAGTTAATAATGTAAAAGAACCAATGTTTTCTGTTCTTTTTTTTATAGCATGGTGGGAAAAGTAGGACAGAAATTGAACTGAACTGTGCATATTATCATCTTTGACAATGACCACTTTTATTTAATTAATTAATACCATAATGAATGTTTATCCAATTATGCTAAAATCCATTTATGCATCTCTTTTTACGAGCATTTAAGATAAAGTCAGAAAATGATTTGTGCTCTTAAAATAAAGTAATTGTTCAAATTGTCTGATTTAAAATGAAACTGAAATGTTTTGACAGATTTAATTAAAAACCAGGTTATCTGCTCAAGTTGATTCATGCATATGACAGAAGATGATCCTGCTCTATGTCACATCAGCTGCACACAAACTCACTTTTCCCAACAACTCTGATAGTGTACATTCTTTGACAAACCTGGAAATATTTTTATAAACTGGGTAAAAAAAGTAAAGTTAAGCTATCCCACTATACACCATGCAGGCGCTTGGGGGGAGATGAGTTATAGCTCCTATTCATTCTTAACCTCAGCACTAGGTAGGGGTAAGTGGTTAGCGCCATGCCCCGGCTGTGCTTTACCCCCAGGAAAGAACCCCAGTACCCACTGAATAGAAGGCTCGATGGGGCCCAGAGCCAGTCTGGACGCAGAGGCTAGAGGAAAAATCCTCTGCCCCGTCGGGGATCAAACAGCGGTTGTCCGGTCTGTAGCCAGTCACTATACTGACTGAGCTACCTCGGCTCATTTATAATTTGAGTACAATAAAAATCTTTTACAATTTTCTGTAATAATATTTTTGTGCTATAGAATTGTAAAATAAACCATGTTGCCTATGCACAAATATTTGGTGTTTATGAATTAATTATTCCTGTGAGCATATCAGTGGATGTGACATTTTACACAGCAGTAATCAAAGTCTTTGCCAAAATGCAGAATATAATAGTTATTAAATAATTCCTGTGAACATGACAATAAACCTTCAAGTTCCGCAAAAGGCAGGGAATTTTTTGACTAGTTGAGCATACTACCAGTTGAAGGACTGTTTTCGATGGAGTTAGTTTTCACAGATATCTCAATAATTTTGTAATGAATACAATAATTTATTTCAGTTTTTTCACTTGATCTATGCATGTTCACATTTGATCTTACTCTTAAAAGAAGGATGAAATACTTTTTTCACATATTTATTCATTTGGATCATAATTATCATCCAGCACACTATCTGTTCCTTTCAATGTATCTAAATTATAAGCAGTCACATTTATTTTTTTTCTGCACAGTAAATACATGCTACAACTTCCTGTCCCTAGTAATAAGGCAATATTATCCCTTAACCTCAGCTTAACCCCCCATTTCTCTTCTAAAATTTGTGTGTTTTATACTGAAAAATTTTATTCAAACAGCTATAGAGAGAAATATTTATATACATGTATATATCTTCTTTCACACCATTCTGCCGTTTACCCCATCAGCAAATTAAAAAAAACACAAAAATTCCGCCACCATAATTAATTCTCGAAATTCTTCTTTCACTGTTGCTTCATATATGCGAATTATTCATGTAACATTTACCTGCGCACTGGGAAAGCAGCATGAAGTACAAGAAAGAACATTATCAGATTATGGGGTGAAAATGTCCATGAGATGGGGCTTCCCCAAAGAAATAGATCAGATTTCATATACACTTGTACTTTGTAAGCAATGGTTAAATTGCAAAGAAAATAATTAGCGCTGTGGAACTGTTCAAAAGTAGTGTATTTTATAATACAGAAGTTAATCCAAATTTGGCATAAGCTTACGACAGATAAATTTGAATGGAGATTACAGAGACAGTGACTTCAATAAGAACGTAAAGTAGAACACAAGGGTGAGTATATATATTTTGTTTCTTGTTTTGTTTTTCTTTGTTTGGAACACTGATGGTCTTCATGTTCTTACAGAAACTTATGCTTATCTCAAGTGTCTCCATTCAAGTATCAAAATTCTAATATTACATCTTACAAAGTTACTGGCCTATGAAAGCTAGTGTATTTCTCTGGGCTACCCTATATTACGTGATGAGCTTTGTTCCATTTTTACATCAAGAAGCGTAGGTTGTTTGTGATATAACTTCATATTTCTCTTTAAGCATATCTGGACAGTTTCTCTTTGTTTATTATAAATATGTTAAAGGGAGAAAAACTAATGTTTTAAATCCCTTTCATTTGAAATGTAAACTATTAGAAAGTTTTATGCATTCCTGGAACACTTAAAACTGTTGAATGTTCACTGGTTCACTACCATTGTTGCTCTTGCACTCACTTGCATTGTTTGCAATACAGAGTTTAACTCTCTGTTGTTTCTTGCCTGATAACAGAGAAACAACAACTGAACTCTTCACAACTCCAATGTAGGTGATTCCTCAGTCCTCAACCTGAAATTATCAATCGCCATATTTCAGAGATCACAATCTTGTAATGAGAAGAGCCATATGACAGTGATAACCATGATTTACTTACACAGATGTGATGGGTGCAGAGGAAAGGATGTTCTAATTAAATAAATAAAGAACAAGTAGATTCACAATACTGATAAAACTAAAACAATGTAAGCTTTGGGGTTTCTGCGATGGTGAAATAATTAGTGTAAGGAAAACCACAAAACCTCAATCAGTCTCCTAGCTGCGATTTGGGTCCAGATCTCCTGAATATGACGTAGGACTGTTTACCACCCAGCTACAATTTTCAGTCCCATACGTTTCAGAAAGTCCCTTGCCGTAGCCGCGCGGTCTGAGGCATCATGCTTCGGACCGGCGATACGGAATGCGTGCTGGTTCGAGTCTCAGGGAAAGAAATTTCTCATGAGATTTTCGACCGATGTATGGGACCGGTGCCAACCCAGCAGCGTGAGGAAATTGGGGAGCTACAATGAGTAGCGTAATCCGGTCAGGAAAACTAGCAATGGCTGGGGGTTCGTCGTGCTGACCACACGTCACCCTATATCTGGTTGGATGATCGTTCACCTCTGCTTAGGCATATGAACGTGAGGTCAGCAGTCAGTCAAGCTAGTCGGCTTTCGCTCTCAGAGGGCTGTTACGCCACCGATTTAATTTTACGCTGCAGAGAAATAATCTGAACAAATGCCTGCACTATATACTACTCATATGTGTTTTTAAAATATTTAAATTATAAATAACAAAAGAATTAACTGAAGGCTTATAGATAAATATAGTTTATCAATACAATATGCTACTGCAATATAGAGTAATAATATAAATATTTATTATAAACAATTTATTTGCATTATCTGAAGAAATATAACCATTTATGCAATAACTTACTTTCATCAGAAATATTTTACTCACTGTAAAGTGGGGAATGGATGCCTTTCATGTCTGAATCCATATCAGAACAATGAGGCTCTTTATTGCTGCTTTTTTCTGCTTTGCCAATGTTGATAAGCTGACTGACCATTATCAACAGGTCTATCAAGCTCCCACATCCTTCCTTCCTCCATAACGATGTGGTCAACAGTGGCTTACCATCTCTCAGATGTAATTTGCAATAATGCTCAAGTAACTAGGCTGAACACATTACAAAGTTTGAACAATTTGTTGTCTCCCAATGTAACCCTTCAGTGATATGGTTGCAGTCTTGCAACTACATGGCCTGTTTTGTTGGCAAGATTGTCAATAAAGTATTTATTACATGTGTTAGCACAACTTTTAAATTTCGTCAGGATTTCAACTTTCACAGCACTTTCTTCAAATAAAAAGTTTTCTTCGTGTAGCCAGTTACTAATGGTCGCCCTTGGTGGACCAGTGGTCAGCGTGCTTGGCACTGGACCCAAGGTTCGTGGGTTCAATCCCAATCGAGGTTTATGGATTTTTAAGGGTGATAAAAATCGGTAGCACAAATTCCTTCGGAGGGGAAGTAAAGCCGGCGGTCCCATGTCGTAGATTTACAGCATGTAAAAGATCCGTATGAGCATGATACGAGATGTTTCGTAAGCAAAATTCAGCGGCCATTTCCTCACTCAAGTCTCCTGATTCACTGCTAGATGGCTCTGGCAGTCAAATCAGGATTGAGTAGAAACTGTGCAGAGTCAGTGGACTAACTCATAAATGCACTCTTCAAAGACCAAGAAACCTCCGAAAAGGAGGCGGCGAAAACCCACAACTGGGTTGTAGAGCCAAGAAACAACAACATTTCACTTCAATTAATAAAGTACAGCAGTACCCTTGATTTATTGGTAGTTTAAATTTTTTCCTTTTTGCAGTCACAAAACCACCATGACATGTAACATACAAAAGTGTTTACACCATAATTGAAGAATACTTACGTCACAGGTCCAATTGCTGAGTGCTGGGCTGGCAGCTAACTGATGCTCCACTCAGCTGTCAACAGAGAAAAGCTCCTTGTGCAAAGCTGGGAACTCAAGATGTGGTGTTGACCGCTTAAACTTGGCTAGAGCATCCATGTGGAGCATGCTCAGTTCTCTGTTAACACAAAAAATCTTGGTTGAACACTTTGCTGGCTGATTGAGAGAGGTAGAGAAGAGGACTGTGTGGAGGATGGAGGAATGTGAGGGGAGGATGGAGAATTAGACCACCTGCAAAACTAATTTTGTACATATACTTCTGGTACTTTTTGAGAGGATAACAAAGCCTTCAGTACAATATTTCCTTGTTATCATTCAAATTCTTCCATATTTTTTTATTTCATTATTAGCCCTTAAATCAATTCCATATTTATGGGTGGGACAGCATATCACAGGCGTGGTCTTCCATGAACCCAGTAATGTTGGTTCAGCCATGGACGAAACTTGTTCTAGATCCAGAAGAAGATGATTTTCCAAGTTTTCCTAATGAATAAATCAGAAAATCTGGAATTCTTGGCATGGTGTGCACTTTTCAAGATGTTTAAAAAAATGTTGACATAAGATGTCATTGAATAATGGCTACAAAGCGATATGTGTGAATCGTGCTTCCAGCACATGACAGATACAGACATTGTCAGAGAGAAAAGAAGAAAGTGGGGAGAATGACAGTGAAGAAGAATAAGAAGAAAACAGTGAGTACACCAGTCACAGCAGGATCCTAGTGTTTTGACACTATACTAGACCATGACATCACAGCCAATATAAAAATTCATACTGTCAGGAGGAGGAGCCTAACAGTTCATAAAAGCAAACACCATTACGAACCGTGTCTCAAAATTAGCATGTTATATGAAAAAGTAAAGTAATTCATGAAGTATTGTAAATGCACCAAACAAAATATTTGGATCAACTGTGTTTTTCAACTATTCGTGCATCTTCTCCCATTCATTAGCCCAAATAACCAGAAGTTTACTGCATTAACATTTTTACTCTTATGGTCACCACATACAGTAATAAATAAAAGTACAATGAAAGAACAGGAAGTCTTTGTTATGCTATTAATAAGAAACAAAACAACTGAATAACTCACCTGAGTGTTGGAACCTTGGCAAGCAAGGCATCATACACTGTCACATCTCCTTTGATGGGTACTGAATGGTTTCTCTCTAGCTCTAATCGAAGTGCTCTGAGAACAGCTTGACTAAGTCGGCCAATCTCGGCAAGCCCTTTTAGTCCTGGCCGATCTAGTTGGCAAAATTATTTAATATTACTAAAATATTAAAAACTGAATATTAAAAATATCAAAAGCAATTCAGAATGGAACAAAGTCCTCTAAAAATAAGTTTACACTGTGGCTCATTTATAATTTGAGTACAATAAAAATCTTTTACAATTTTCTGTAATAATATTTTTGTGCTATAGAATTGTAAAATAAACCATGTTGCCTATGCACAAATATTTGGAGTTTATGAATTAATTATTCCTGTGAGCATATCAGTGGATGTGACATTTTACACAGCAGTAATCAAAGTCTTTGCCAAAATGCAGAATATAATAGTTATTAAATAATTCCTGTGAACATGACAATAAACCTTCAAGTTCCGCAAAAGGCAGGGAATTTTTTGACTAGTTGAGCATACTACCAGTTGAAGGACTGTTTTCGATGGAGTTAGTTTTCACAGATATCTCAATAATTTTGTAATGAATACAATAATTTATTTCAGTTTTTTCACTTGATCTATGCATGTTCACATTTGATCTTACTCTTAAAAGAAGGATGAAATACTTTTTTCACATATTTATTCATTTGGATCATAATTATCATCCAGCACACTATCTGTTCCTTTCAATGTATCTAAATTATAAGCAGTCACATTTATTTTTTTTCTGCACAGTAAATACATGCTACAACTTCCTGTCCCTAGTAATAAGGCAATATTATCCCTTAACCTCAGCTTAACCCCCCATTTCTCTTCTAAAATTTGTGTGTTTTATACTGAAAAATTTTATTCAAACAGCTATAGAGAGAAATATTTATATACATGTATATATCTTCTTTCACACCATTCTGCCGTTTACCCCATCAGCAAATTAAAAAAAACACAAAAATTCCGCCACCATAATTAATTCTCGAAATTCTTCTTTCACTGTTGCTTCATATATGCGAATTATTCATGTAACATTTACCTGCGCACTGGGAAAGCAGCATGAAGTACAAGAAAGAACATTATCAGATTATGGGGTGAAAATGTCCATGAGATGGGGCTTCCCCAAAGAAATAGATCAGATTTCATATACACTTGTACTTTGTAAGCAATGGTTAAATTGCAAAGAAAATAATTAGCGCTGTGGAACTGTTCAAAAGTAGTGTATTTTATAATACAGAAGTTAATCCAAATTTGGCATAAGCTTACGACAGATAAATTTGAATGGAGATTACAGAGACAGTGACTTCAATAAGAACGTAAAGTAGAACACAAGGGTGAGTATATATATTTTGTTTCTTGTTTTGTTTTTCTTTGTTTGGAACACTGATGGTCTTCATGTTCTTACAGAAACTTATGCTTATCTCAAGTGTCTCCATTCAAGTATCAAAATTCTAATATTACATCTTACAAAGTTACTGGCCTATGAAAGCTAGTGTATTTCTCTGGGCTACCCTATATTACGTGATGAGCTTTGTTCCATTTTTACATCAAGAAGCGTAGGTTGTTTGTGATATAACTTCATATTTCTCTTTAAGCATATCTGGACAGTTTCTCTTTGTTTATTATAAATATGTTAAAGGGAGAAAAACTAATGTTTTAAATCCCTTTCATTTGAAATGTAAACTATTAGAAAGTTTTATGCATTCCTGGAACACTTAAAACTGTTGAATGTTCACTGGTTCACTACCATTGTTGCTCTTGCACTCACTTGCATTGTTTGCAATACAGAGTTTAACTCTCTGTTGTTTCTTGCCTGATAACAGAGAAACAACAACTGAACTCTTCACAACTCCAATGTAGGTGATTCCTCAGTCCTCAACCTGAAATTATCAATCGCCATATTTCAGAGATCACAATCTTGTAATGAGAAGAGCCATATGACAGTGATAACCATGATTTACTTACACAGATGTGATGGGTGCAGAGGAAAGGATGTTCTAATTAAATAAATAAAGAACAAGTAGATTCACAATACTGATAAAACTAAAACAATGTAAGCTTTGGGGTTTCTGCGATGGTGAAATAATTAGTGTAAGGAAAACCACAAAACCTCAATCAGTCTCCTAGCTGCGATTTGGGTCCAGATCTCCTGAATATGACGTAGGACTGTTTACCACCCAGCTACAATTTTCAGTCCCATACGTTTCAGAAAGTCCCTTGCCGTAGCCGCGCGGTCTGAGGCATCATGCTTCGGACCGGCGATACGGAATGCGTGCTGGTTCGAGTCTCAGGGAAAGAAATTTCTCATGAGATTTTCGACCGATGTATGGGACCGGTGCCAACCCAGCAGCGTGAGGAAATTGGGGAGCTACAATGAGTAGCGTAATCCGGTCATGAAAACTAGCAATGGCTGAGGGTTCGTCGTGCTGACCACACGTCACCCTATATCTGGTTGGATGATCGTTCACCTCTGCTTAGGCATATGAACGTGAGGTCAGCAGTCAGTCAAGCTAGTCGGCTTTCGCTCTCAGAGGGCTGTTACGCCACCGATTTAATTTTACGCTGCAGAGAAATAATCTGAACAAATGCCTGCACTATATACTACTCATATGTGTTTTTAAAATATTTAAATTATAAATAACAAAAGAATTAACTGAAGGCTTATAGATAAATATAGTTTATCAATACAATATGCTACTGCAATATAGAGTAATAATATAAATATTTATTATAAACAATTTATTTGCATTATCTGAAGAAATATAACCATTTATGCAATAACTTACTTTCATCAGAAATATTTTACTCACTGTAAAGTGGGGAATGGATGCCTTTCATGTCTGAATCCATATCAGAACAATGAGGCTCTTTATTGCTGCTTTTTTCTGCTTTGCCAATGTTGATAAGCTGACTGACCATTATCAACAGGTCTATCAAGCTCCCACATCCTTCCTTCCTCCATAACGATGTGGTCAACAGTGGCTTACCATCTCTCAGATGTAATTTGCAATAATGCTCAAGTAACTAGGCTGAACACATTACAAAGTTTGAACAATTTGTTGTCTCCCAATGTAACCCTTCAGTGATATGGTTGCAGTCTTGCAACTACATGGCCTGTTTTGTTGGCAAGATTGTCAATAAAGTATTTATTACATGTGTTAGCACAACTTTTAAATTTCGTCAGGATTTCAACTTTCACAGCACTTTCTTCAAATAAAAAGTTTTCTTCGTGTAGCCAGTTACTAATGGTCGCCCTTGGTGGACCAGTGGTCAGCGTGCTTGGCACTGGACCCAAGGTTCGTGGGTTCAATCCCAATCGAGGTTTATGGATTTTTAAGGGTGATAAAAATCGGTAGCACAAATTCCTTCGGAGGGGAAGTAAAGCCGGCGGTCCCATGTCGTAGATTTACAGCATGTAAAAGATCCGTATGAGCATGATACGAGATGTTTCGTAAGCAAAATTCAGCGGCCATTTCCTCACTCAAGTCTCCTGATTCACTGCTAGATGGCTCTGGCAGTCAAATCAGGATTGAGTAGAAACTGTGCAGAGTCAGTGGACTAACTCATAAATGCACTCTTCAAAGACCAAGAAACCTCCGAAAAGGAGGCGGCGAAAACCCACAACTGGGTTGTAGAGCCAAGAAACAACAACATTTCACTTCAATTAATAAAGTACAGCAGTACCCTTGATTTATTGGTAGTTTAAATTTTTTCCTTTTTGCAGTCACAAAACCACCATGACATGTAACATACAAAAGTGTTTACACCATAATTGAAGAATACTTACGTCACAGGTCCAATTGCTGAGTGCTGGGCTGGCAGCTAACTGATGCTCCACTCAGCTGTCAACAGAGAAAAGCTCCTTGTGCAAAGCTGGGAACTCAAGATGTGGTGTTGACCGCTTAAACTTGGCTAGAGCATCCATGTGGAGCATGCTCAGTTCTCTGTTAACACAAAAAATCTTGGTTGAACACTTTGCTGGCTGATTGAGAGAGGTAGAGAAGAGGACTGTGTGGAGGATGGAGGAATGTGAGGGGAGGATGGAGAATTAGACCACCTGCAAAACTAATTTTGTACATATACTTCTGGTACTTTTTGAGAGGATAACAAAGCCTTCAGTACAATATTTCCTTGTTATCATTCAAATTCTTCCATATTTTTTTATTTCATTATTAGCCCTTAAATCAATTCCATATTTATGGGTGGGACAGCATATCACAGGCGTGGTCTTCCATGAACCCAGTAATGTTGGTTCAGCCATGGACGAAACTTGTTCTAGATCCAGAAGAAGATGATTTTCCAAGTTTTCCTAATGAATAAATCAGAAAATCTGGAATTCTTGGCATGGTGTGCACTTTTCAAGATGTTTAAAAAAATGTTGACATAAGATGTCATTGAATAATGGCTACAAAGCGATATGTGTGAATCGTGCTTCCAGCACATGACAGATACAGACATTGTCAGAGAGAAAAGAAGAAAGTGGGGAGAATGACAGTGAAGAAGAATAAGAAGAAAACAGTGAGTACACCAGTCACAGCAGGATCCTAGTGTTTTGACACTATACTAGACCATGACATCACAGCCAATATAAAAATTCATACTGTCAGGAGGAGGAGCCTAACAGTTCATAAAAGCAAACACCATTACGAACCGTGTCTCAAAATTAGCATGTTATATGAAAAAGTAAAGTAATTCATGAAGTATTGTAAATGCACCAAACAAAATATTTGGATCAACTGTGTTTTTCAACTATTCGTGCATCTTCTCCCATTCATTAGCCCAAATAACCAGAAGTTTACTGCATTAACATTTTTACTCTTATGGTCACCACATACAGTAATAAATAAAAGTACAATGAAAGAACAGGAAGTCTTTGTTATGCTATTAATAAGAAACAAAACAACTGAATAACTCACCTGAGTGTTGGAACCTTGGCAAGCAAGGCATCATACACTGTCACATCTCCTTTGATGGGTACTGAATGGTTTCTCTCTAGCTCTAATCGAAGTGCTCTGAGAACAGCTTGACTAAGTCGGCCAATCTCGGCAAGCCCTTTTAGTCCTGGCCGATCTAGTTGGCAAAATTATTTAATATTACTAAAATATTAAAAACTGAATATTAAAAATATCAAAAGCAATTCAGAATGGAACAAAGTCCTCTAAAAATAAGTTTACACTGTCATTAACATAAGTGCTCAGAGCAGTAATAGTAAACTTACGTGGCAGCGTAATGAAGCTCAGTACTTTTTGGCTGCCATAGATATATGGAATTATGAGAAAGATGGTTAAGTCAAAAATTGGTTTATAAGAGATACTTACATCAGGAACCAATTCGCAAAATTATTTCAATAAAGCAAAATACTTTCCATTTAGCGGCATTACAGACATATAACATTGTCTCTTCTTGACGTACTCATTTATCTTGTGAGTTAACTCTCTTTTTCATAACACCACAGATAAACAGAAGATATATAATCTTTGTTTCTTATCATGTAAAATTTCTCATGCTTAATTAATAACAAAAAAAATCAATCAAATCAAAGAGAAAATCCTTAAATTGCATGGTAACTGAAATATTATTTCTTTTATTTATGATAATGTTTCTGAAATGCCTACAATAAAACAGAATATTATTTTGAAAAAAACATTATTCTCTCCTATACTGAATTGTTGGAAGATTACCATCTTGGTGCTGTTGATAAGATGAATTGACAAGCAGAATTACAAGTCTATTGTTGTTGTTCCTGGTGGCATAATAAGATTATTAACATTTACAAATATCGCTCCATACTGGTTTATAAATATATTTTATAAACTGAAGACAAACCATCTGGTACTCACACATGTATAAACAGATTATAACTTCTTATTGTTTTAACTTGACACTCTGGTACTTACAAGAACAGTAATACTCTAGTTCAAAATCCACCACAGATCAAGTCACTACCTCAGAATGGAATCACAGTTTTTTCTGTTGTACAGAGATGGCCATATTTCATTATCAGATGTCGGTATAAGAGTTGCAAAACAAGAGTAGGGTTCTAGTACGGAAACATTTTAACAAAGGAACATAATGTTATGGAGAATCATGTGTCACGTCACTCAGCTATTCAACCGATTGGCATGGTTACCGTCATTATCGACACATAACGGCGTTAATCAGAAAGAGCACCAGTCGACCCATTGGTACATAGGCGTTGAAGTTATGGTAAATCTTGCCTTTTAACTCAGCATCAGCAAGCTTATGAATTGTGTTAAGCTATCACAAAAAATCACACCAGTTCCAATCCGCAGTGGAAATTAGCTGTTCAAGAACAAAAGCATGTCAACTGCATAATAAACTGGAGTCACACCTTGTTCCTAAATTACTCTATCTAGCCAGATTGGTCGAGGGGGAGAGGTCAGACTAAGACAGGTACCCTGGTCCTCCAGGTTGGGGGTTGGTCGCAAGGCTAACAACCTTGCACCGTAAAAAGGAAGATGTTTCGAAACCTCAATCAAAGTCTCGGACAGACGGACCTAACAGAGGACTGAATGGAAGAGGAGAATTGAGGAGGCCGTGGACCGAATACGGACCAGAGAGCCATAGAAGAAGAAGAAGAAGAAGGCCCACATTATCAAATTTTGGAATTAGCCAATGGGACAACAGCTCCACATAAGTTTCACCAGTCAAAGATACATGGTCCAAAAATCACTTCACTCGTGGCTCCATTTATTTTAGCCCAGATATAAATATTCTGCCTGGAGGAGAACCATTGAAGAGGAGACAAAGAAGGAAGGACCCGGAGGGAGCAGAAAGTTCTGGCTCGTAATAGAACTCGTTGGCGCTGCTTTGTTGAGGCCCTATGCTATGGCTAAGAGCGACAGGATATCAATCAATCAATAAATATTCTGAGACCTTGTGCTGAGGTTTACTGCACATTTACCAATGGAAATATTGTTGTGATGGGGTGCTAAGGTGGGGAATATATGCAATGAAGTTGCACACGCCTGTCACTGCATGTCCACAAAACTTATTCCATTTACAAATATGGGACAATACTTATGGTAGCCTTAGTTCCTAATCAAATATTGCTTGGAAATTCTAGGAATCTGGAATTCTACAGATTTCTTCATGCATTTTCTGGTCAATCATTGAACTGACTCCTCCAAACATTTACATCTGCATCCACACATTTCTGTGGTTTTCATTTCGCATCTAACAAAGAACCAGTGAGGAATGAATTTTTCATCAGTTTTCATACATTAGCCTCAGCTGGAGCTGATTTATTAAGACACAAGGCACTTTTTCTTTTCTTGTGGACTCTCACACTCGCAAGATGCTCCTTTATGATGAGTAGTACACTCATTAAATAAATATCCCCTACAAAGCTAGGGAGTTTAGCCATGGCATGGCTCTTTTTCCCTCTGCTTCCAGTAATTTCTCATCTGCCC